TGGTGTGACTCCTGGGCTTAGTCCTGTGCAGGGCTAAAGGTTGGTCTCGATGATGCTCGTGCGTCCCTTCCAACTCGGCATATTCTGATTGAGAACCGATTCCCTGCGCCTGACTTTTCCCTTTTCCTCCCGGTGCCGCTGCTCGCCCTTGGATGGTTGTTTATCGCCGGTGACCGAACCGGCTGAACGCCAAACCTGCCCGTCCTCTCCAGCCGGGCGGCTTGGAGGATTAGCCTCAATTATCGATCAGCCTACGCGACGGCAAATCACTGCTAAATCATTCTCAAACACATTAAAAAACAATTGATACAGTCTCGATCGATACAATCTCCGAGGACCTTAATGTGGGCAAGAAAACAGAATAGGAAAACCCAATTACTCTTTATGAATCATCCAGAGTTTCTAGAGGAATAAGATAAGCAATTCTCATGCTTTGCTAAATTTAGGATTGACAGGACAATCCAGGAAAGTAGCCTTTGGCAGTAGCTTATTCTCAGGGCAAGATGTTAACTGTCAACTACTGGGATCAAGCCTCGGGCATCTGAATTAGCTGTGAAAGTCTTCAGACCCAGCTAAAAAAAAATCTCTATGAGCAGGATGAAGAGTAAATGGACAGTATTGTCAAAAGGACCTTAAAGCTTTTGCAGCGCAAAGCTGACAGAATTTATATCTGCAAATGCATTTATGCTATGCTTAAAATTGAGGGTTTATAGGTTTGGAGAAGTGAGTCAATACCCTTCAAAAGTCTGTTTTAAAGGGAAATGTACAGAGGAGGAATTAATTTATATATGGTAATTGTATAGCTTGGAGCACTGACAACATTGAAGTTACTGGAGAATAGTGCCCTGTAATCTCTCAAGTGGCGTTTTTGCCTTTCAGACTGTGCCTTTAATGTTCTGTTACTTTTGTCTTGAGCAGATGGTATGATTTTGTAGCTGATTGCCTGATCCAGGTTTCTATTAGTCCTGCAGATCCATGGGCTGGGGAAGAGCTAATAGGCCACACTGCTCTGAACTTCATGAGAAGTACCTGATACCTGTGAAAACCTTTGAAGCTCTGAGAAGGAAATTTATTTTTTAAATGGTCTGCTGGAAGGTGCTGATTGACAGCCCTGGAGACAGAAAATCTCTGGGTGTCCACGTAGCAGATCCAGCATGAACAGCAGCACTTGAAGCCTCAGTTCTCTGTCCCCTGGCTGATCATACCCTTGAATTGATTAGATCACTCCTTAGGTCCTCAGCTGCTAATTCAGCTGGGTAGTCTGGGCCATTAATGTGGTCAGACAGGCTGGAAGATAAAGGAGACAGTGGTGTGTGGTTGGTGTTAGGTGGGAATATATGCATGAATGAGTTGCATTTCTGTATGGAGCTGGTTGGGGCCTCACTGTGCCCTGTATTCCATGTCTGGTGTCACTGTGACCCTGGTCCACAGCTAGAAATGATGCTCTCAGGTATCACTGTAGTGGCTGTGCAGCTTTACTTCTGAGGGATGAATTTTACTCCTGTACCTGATTTCTCACCCTAATAGAGATGTGCTTCCACATTACCTGATGTGGGTAGCTCTTTGTAGCAGCACATTGTAATTTTTACAAGAAACTTACCTTTGGACTTCTCTAATGATAAAGTAAAATCTCTCTCGAGTCTCATTCCCCCAACTTGCAGAGTTGGAAACTCACACAGGCTTATGTTGAAAAGGAATTGATTATTCAAAGCTCTTGTGCTTCATAATCTACTTAAAACATGGGGATTGACTGTCTCATCAGTAAAGCTCTATATTTTACTTTGCTATATACCCATTGGGTCATGTGCTTAAGGCCAGGAGACCTCTGGCTAGTTCCTCACAGACTGTGTGCCCCTCCAATTACGGGTTATTAATTTGCTTTACATTCCAGAGACAGTTCCACATGAGTGAAAAGGAATACTGTACTGCAGAGTTCTTCATTACCTACTCTGTCTGTACTACAAAATAAGAATAATACTGATTCCTTCCTTCCTTTTTTCCTCCTTTTTTTTATTTCCTTCCCTCTGGTCTGTGGAAGATGTTTTACAGTTTTAATGCAGCTGTTTTAAGTGTGACTGTTGCTGTTCAAGGGCAGCTGATGTACTTTGTAATGCCACCGAGCAGCCAACAAGCTCTGTTCCCCCATTGTGTTGAAGTGATAGGTATGTTTGCTAATCAAGAGGAGAGCAGAGCTCGCTGTCTGACTTGTTTATGTTTTATTTCTCACCATCAAGCTTTAGAGGGAGGCACAGAAGATATGTAAGCATCTATATTATTCAGTGATGTATATATGTACATGAGTGAACAAACAACCTGAAGGGTATCGCTGATGTCTTCCAGTCACTCACAGCTGAAGTGAGAGAGGTGTCAGGGTTACCACATCACCCCAGTGCTACTCAAAACACCCCAAACCTGCAGTGTCATTAGGTGAAATATTAATTGATTGTCACTGCATCTTGATTTTTTTTTTCCTCTTGTGATTGCTTCAGTTTTGTTCAAAAATAGTGACTGACCAATCCAGTGGAGGATTTTTCTCGTCAGGGCTCACAGGAGGCTTTGGGGAAGTGATCAGATCCAGGAGATGCCACCAGGCTCTCATCACAATTGCTTTGTAATTTTCTTGTAGGCTGCAGTTTCTCCTTCCCATAAGAAGGATGGAAGCAATCTGGCCCCTGGAAGTGGGGAATCTCCTGGAAGCTCAGCAGCACAACATACCCACTAATTTCTCTGTGCCATTCCTGGGGCTTTCAGCCTCTGCCCTGATTCCCTGTTCATCTCCCAGGGATGTCAGCTCTGGCAGAATCCTACTGCAGTTTTACTCATGAGTTTGTAGGTTTTATTCCAATTCCTTGTAAAACTGTTTTGAGCATTCTGCATTTTTTCCAAAAAAACCCAACAACCAATCCTGTAATTTGGCATCTCCATAAATCCATGTCAATGATTCCAGTAAGAATTGTCATAAAATAACATGCATTGAGACAAGAAAGTTCAGTGCTGCAGCCAGAAATTCAGGAGCACGGGAAAATGCCACTGGTCTTTGTGTGGAATACATTTTTGGGAAAGAGAAGGCGGGTTTATTTGTTTTTCTTTATTCCTGGGATGTCTTGGGTTTGTACCAGTTCTTGTAAGCTGGAGGGTGGGCAGAAGAAGTGCCCTGCAAAGAGCACTGAAATCCTCCTGTTATCCCTCCCATCCCTGCCTGCAGCTCAGCTCTTGGATAGAGAAGTATCATCTGTCTGAGAACATCCCTGCCTGCTGCTGCGCTATTGTAGAGTTAATTTTATGAATCCCATTTTTAATGGAATACCTGGGTTTGCATTGTCATTTTGCTCTTTGTCAAGTGTCTGGGTTTATTCCATTCCTTTTTTTTTTTTTCCTTCATTTCAGCAGATGGAGAATATTGCTCTCTTTAACTTGTTCTTTTATAATGTGAAGTGGATATCCTCAATTAATACACTAATCTGTTTTCTAATTAATTCCCCGCGGTTTTCCTCCCTTTTTGCTGGTACATTGAATCCTGAGTGCAGTTCTGTAAACTCAGTAATTTGATTATTTAAAGGAGAAGTAATGAATTTCATGATAGAGGTGCAATGTTAAATTTCAGGAAGCAGATGGATTCTATTACTGCAGTTTAAAACCTGCTCGTACCCGGGGTAGAAATGTGCACTGCTAATAATTCACTCTGCTAAAATACAGGCAGATTCCTGTCAGCTTGTCCTGAAGCGAAGTGCAGTGTTAGAAATCTGACACATACACTCTCCTACAAGCACTTGTTGTTGTATTTTTGTATGCAGATGTGATGGCAGGGTGAGCATCAAAACATCCACATGCCATGATGGGGATTTATGTAGCAATTTTTCTGGCTTGTTTTCAGCAGAGGCACCTATGTGTCAGACAGAGTGAGCAGATAAAGGGAAGGGGCTCTCCTTGCTGCCTGGGAATTGTTTTGACTGCTGCTTTGGGAAGCAGCTCGAGGTGATTTTGCTGTCCCTTCTTCGGGGTTATTTGACACTGAGCCCAACACGTTGCAACGGTCACTGGAAAATTTACGGTCACTCAGGTTGAACCTAATAATTTAATTCCGAGAAAAACCAAGCACCTTCCCCCTCACGCCCCCCAATTTACCTGTTTAAATATCTTGACTGAAATATTTTATGTTATGAAGACTCCAGTGAAAATATGCAGGGTACTTCCTTACTACTGTGTCCCATTAAATAGAATTTTTAGAGCTGCATAGTAACTGTAACCCCAGTCAGCATCTTGCATCTTTTTAGTTTTCTTGTGGGCTGCAGTGTTTCTCCTTCCCACGTGAAGGATGGAAGCAATCTGGCCCTGGAACTGGGGAATCTCCTAGGATCTGCTGGAAGCTCAACAGCACAACATACCCACATCTCTTTCTTTCTCCCTTGCCCTAAAAGAAAATAATAATTGAGGAAAAAGAACTTTTATCTCTAAAATTAGGGAGTCATCAGTGGAGTAGTAAAAGTAGCTGAAATACATTTTGAAAATTTATTTTCAGTCATAAAGTCTTCAAGCCTTTGGGCAAATTGGAGCAATAGCACAGGTCGCCTGTTGTGGCAGAACCATTGACACCTGCTGGGTTCAACACAGAGTGCTCAGAAATGTCTTTCCTGTTTCAGGATTTCTTTTACACAACTCAGATCATTATTTTTGCATTTTGATAAGATGGTGTCACACACGTCACTGTGACATCAGTCCAGTGTGGCTGACAGAAAAAGCACATTGCAAAATGATGGAGGCATCAGGTTTTACCAAATACTTTACTTTAGTCCTGCAGTTCCTTATGAGTTTGGGGGTTCCATGTTGGCACAGTAAATATGCAAAACCCAACAAGTGACTCTGCTCTCCAAAATCTCAGTCACAAACGGGAATAACTCTGTGTGGTTTCTGGAGCAGTCTATCCAGAGGAAGTTGTGTGCATCCTCCTTAACTGCAGGCTCAGCACACAAAATAAATGTCACCTTTTGAATCCTTTGCAGTCCCAGACAACCTTGTTCTGGAGCTCCTGACGCAGCGCCTGAGCTCCCTCGAGTGCCTGACCGATGGCTGGGTGCTCTCCGGCTTCCCCAGGGACATCGAGCAGGCAGAGAAGCTGCAGAAATCACAGATTAACCCAAACAGGTAAGAGGGAAGTTGAGCAATCACAGCATTACATATATGAAAAAATTGTTTGTGGAAAGATACAGATCTTTATTGACGTTGTATATGCTGTTGCATCTTATTTGTTTGTGGCTTCCTTAGCCAGCAAAGGGGTCTTGCTTCCTGGAGAGTAGGAGATAGAGCCCTGGACTTACAAATGCTCCAGATGGCCAAACAACTGTGGGAGAGAGAAGAGGTTTGTTGTTCTGGTTATTTGTTTGAGTTGCCTCTAAAGACAAACCCACAAGAAACGGATTAAAATTGGGATTATATCAGAAGTTGTATTTTATTTGCAGCAGGAGGAGGGATCTACATCTTCTTTCTTCAGCACTGGAATAATACCACAGAAATATATTGGTATTGCAAGGAGTTCATTATGAGACTTTTGGGGCTTGTGAAATAATTAAAAACAACATGAGAATTATATTTTATTTGAGCCGTAATGAATTGTTCAGAAATGTAATATGAGAGGCATCAGCATCAAAAAAGAACTGTTATGAGCGCCAAGGAGATAAAATAGTGTTACTTTTCACAGCTGGTCCAAAGGTGGTGAGGATTTGAAGTGCTGGTGGATTCCTCAAAGCTGAGAGGCTTCTCCACTCCCTTCCCAGGGCTTCCTGGTTCAGTCCATACCATTGGCTGGCACAGTGGCCATTCCAAAGGCATACATGGAAATTTGTAGTCTTTATGCTTCCAGGAAGCTGTTCTTATCTAAAAAGTAGGAAAGGTGTATTACCCACATAACTGTTTAGGTTGGCAAAGTTTCTCTTCCTGTGTCTCCTGTGTGGCTGCCCTGAATTCCCTCCCCACTCCCTGTACAGGGGAGAGGAAAAGATGGAAAAGGGTGAGATTGAGGTGGAGAGAGAAAAGAGGGGAGTGCAAAGGGAGGGAGCTGACAGTCATCCCCCCAGGTCTGAAAAGGAAAGTGTGTGAGAACAGCAGTAGCTTTATTTATTCAAAGACGATTTGCATCTTAAACAGGAATCCATTTTATGAAAAAAAATGGAGAAATAATCTTGAAACTTACACTAGACTCAGTTAAATAACACATTTCCCATGGATTATTCTTCATCTGCATTTAGAAGGAAGGTCCTGAATCCCTAAACACGTGTCTGAGTCCCAGAGATCAGTGTGAATCCTCAAGTGTGCCCCACGTGCCCCTTTGCAGGATTGAGACCTCATCAAGTGAGGAAGAACAACTCATTATAAAATTGGATGTGTGGAAATTCAGCACTGATCCATTTGTTCAGCTCCCTTTTGCTTTAAAGAGCTCTGCACATTCAGATCTGAGTGAAGAATTTGGCCCCTGCTGGTTCACACAGGGGTTGAAGTGAGGGACAAAAATAGACATTGTGCTCCCTGATTGATTTGGGAGCTGATATTTTCCATGAAGCTGAAGTAGTAGGGATATAAGGGAGAGAGGGTGATTATAAACAAAAGGACATATTGCAGCATAGGACAGCAGGGCAGTAATTCAGTTGCAGTTGTGATGCTAGTTATAAAACACTATCTGCAGAGGTGGTGTTTCTGACATCAGGAGAAAAACCTGATAGAATTATAGCCTTGAAATCAATCTGGGAATAGGATGTAGAAATCTATAAATCAGATACAGAGCAATCTACAAAGTCTCATTTTTAGGAGGGCTCCGTTGATGAAATTAGATTAAAATAAATTTACATATATATCAAGTTTATTATTAAAATCTAGTCACATCAGTAAACAAAATTATTTGTGAAAGAGAATGTTACTCTGGTTTTTGAACTCAGAGTAGACCTCTTTGGCTGATCAGAACACAGAGTTATTGTCTGCTTGTCAAGTCACAAATCTATTCCTTAGAGCTAATAAATGGTTAGTGTTCAAATACTATGTTTTATCTGACTCCCACCTCATAAAGCTACTATACATAATACTAAATTATACAGCATTGAGCAGGATCAGTCTCCTGACTCCTCCATCTTATGGAAAGAAAAACAAACCTAGTAATTGATGGTAGAAAAGAAGGAAAATAAACTTATTTGAAAACAAACAAAATGGGCTATAAAGTTTGTTAAAATGTAATAATAAAAAAACTCATACAGCATCAGCTACTGCATCCAAAGAACTGCCCTGGAACAAAAAGGAAAATAATTCAATTTCCACTGGAGAGGTGAGGTACAGGGTTTTCTTTAAATTAGAATTTGCAGTGGAGTGAGGGTTTGCTGAGTGCAGGGGAACCTGTATCAGCAAAACCTGGCTCCCAAAGAGCTGCTGTCCCTGTGCTCACAGAAGACATGAGCTGCTCTCTGTATTCCTCCCTGCCCAAGTGGACAGGATCCCAATCCTACTGAACTGTGGCAGCCTTAAGGGCAAATGAGGAGCTGAATCCATTCGTGGCCTCTCAGCTCTGGAGTGAAAGACACCATGAACCACTTAGTGCCTACAGAAAGTGGGAATCCACACACAGGTTGGCATCTGAAGCTCTGAACTAATCCAAAGGACTGACTTCAGTTCCTCACCCAAACCACTGTAAAATAGGTATTTTAGCTTTTGTTAATCGTTAGTGCTTGAGCAGCAACAAGAAATGTATCATATAGCCATGGGCAGTTCTAATATACCGAAAATTCTATTTAATGTTCACCAAAATATTTCTTATCCCTCTTGCTCTCTCCCAAACTTACAGTTAAAATAAGATTCGGCAGCAACAGTGTCATCTGTTGTGAATCTCTGGTCATTACCTTCAGCTGGTCCATGCCCAGCTGTCTGCTGGGTCCAGGCCAGCCTAAGGCAGTCGGCAGTTTAAGGATTCCCTGAGCCAGAGGGTCATCTGGACAACTGTCTAATCACCCATTTGCCTTGATTTTATAGTCTCTTTCTCAATGCTGCACTTCTGGCCACCAAATCAAATCACATTTCGCTGGGTGTCACGTGAAAACACTTCACTGGTTTTTCCAGGTTCGTTTCTGCCGTGGAGAAACAGTTACAGGCATTCCCTGGTCGTGTCTCCCAACACTCCTGATTTTCTAAGCCTCTTGTTGCCTTTCAGTCACCCCTTTCCCAAAGAACTTTGGTCTGGTTATCCTTTCCTTTCCTAGCAGTCATTCTGCTCTTCTGATCGTGCTGTCTCCCTGTGCTCCTCCTTCACTGGCCATTCCAGCTGTTTCTTTGCTGGGATGGGACAGCCAGAACTGCATTCCAGTTTGAGGTCAGCACTGTGTACTGGAGGTTTATGTAGTAGCATAAACATTTCTATTTCTGTCTTAACTCCATGACTCAGAATTGCTGATATTCTCTCAGATGGGATAGATTTTGGGAGAACCTCTTTTGTGTGTGGACTGTGGTAACTAAACTGTGTCTCTTTCATTGAAAATACACTGAAAATTCCCAAAGTGTCAAAAATCCCAAATTAGTGAGTACAGTCTCAGCAAGGAGCCTAAAGATCTTCTAACTCAAGATTTCTGCAGTTAAACTGGAGCCAGCTTTGCCTTGGAGTTCTCAATCCCTCCCATCTGTGCCAACAGGCTCTGCTCCTACATGTCCTGGGATTGCCAGTTGCTCTGTTCCAATATTTCCTTTGTTTTTGTCCATCTGATCTGAATCCAGACTGGATTGTTTTACATTTCAGTATTGATTAATTATATTACAGTAGCATCTACAAATAATACAAGTGGACAGACAAAGCTGAGCAGGGGAGGGATGAACTAGAGGATTGACCTCACAGTACATATATAATGTATTTCAAATACCCATTTTTTTCCATATTAAAGTTGTTTCTTCCCCAGTAGAGAAAATAAACAGCAAAGCTTCTCCAGTGTGAGTTTTTCAGCTGTGTTATATTTAGTTTTCAAAATGATGTGGCTGTATCCCCAATTATGTCATCTTTTTACATAATATATTTAAAGCTTCTTTTTCATCACGCTGCTAAGAACCTGTATTCAAACAGTTTAGGCTAATGAAGTTCCTAATTTCTCAGGTAGAATCTCTGAATATGTTGAAAAGGGAAAAATCAGAACGGAAAAAAAAAAGATTTTTTTTCTTTTTAACTAGTTGCTCTTTACATGGGGCTTTCATATTTCTGCAGCTGATCCCAATGTGGATTAGGGATAATAAACAGCCTATTAATGGAGGCCTGAACTAGGAAATGGAGTTTGAATCAGCAGCAAAATTCAATGGCTGGCGAAGGTTAATAACTCCTTATCTTACTCCTCATTAATTGAGCTAATAGAACCCCAGTGACCCCACCATGCTGCCATTATCTGAGAGTTTACCAGACATGGACTGGAATATTTATCACTGAATATGTATTCCTCAGATTCATTTTTATATCAGAAATATTTTTGTTAAAGATTAGCTCAGGTTTCTTTTTGCCTTTTTGTTTCTTTGCTGCCTTTTGCAACAGCTACATATTTGGAAATTACATGTAAATTACTTAATTAAATTCCTATCAAGGAACAAGCTAAATCCCAAAATAGTTGCATCAAGGAAACATAATAGTGATTGAATTATTCTGACATGGAAAAATCTTACAGAGCATTTTTAAAACTTTGGCCTAATTTAAATGATGGATATTAGATGTGGTTTTAATTGATGGCATACAGAAATCTGATGAGTAGCAAAGAAGAAATGTTATAATTATATCTTATTTTCTCCTTATTTTCAGGGTGAAAAAATGATGTGATAATCAAGGTACTAAATCAGTACAATAAAATTGGTCTTCACCAGGGAGAGAGAGAAACAATAGGAAAAGTCCAAGTGACTTATGTAGGATTTGCTTATTTCATGAAGTAGTAAAAATAATAGGCAGAACAATTCTCTGTTTCAATCATTCCCAATTTTTTCTCAGCCCACTCTTACCAGACCATTCCGTGGTTGCTGGTTTGGTGACTGTTGTCTTCACTAATCCTGATGGGTTTCCTTTTATTATCCCTCTGCATATCAGTGCTGCCACCCCAGCTGGGCTCTTCCTCCTCCATGACGTGTTCAGATCAAACAGGCTTTGGGTAAAA